CCTGCTTCTGTCAGGTTTGCGACCGCCGCTGGCCCCACTGCCGCGCAGTCGCCCGCCGCTCTTTGCTGCTGTCCGGGCCACGCTGCCCACACTTCCCCCGCAGTCGCGCCGGTGCCTGCTGCCGCGCTGTCTCTCGTCAGCGCTTCGTTCTGCCTGCCGCCGTATTGCCGACCTACAGCCGCTCCGGTCTGTACTACCTGGCCGCCTGCTTCCTCCGCCGACAGCTCGTCACCACTCTGCACTGCGCCTGGTATCACATTGCAGCAGAACAGCCGACGCCAAACTCACTGCAGCTAGCTGCCGCCCGCCGGCGCTCGCTGCCGACCGCCGCTGCCGCTTGCTGTCGCCCGCCTCTACTGTCCTGAGGTCGGTGAGCCTGCACGCTCCGTTTTTTGTGCGCATCGCATCGTTGGTTTGGGAGTAACGGTAGGGTCTTGGTTATTGTTGGAAGGGACTGAAGGCCTGGTCGTTGAGGTGTGTGGAGGCTAGGGACGTGGTACTGCCCTTACTTTGCTCGAGAGCGGTTGACCCGGAATTAATACCCGGTGACGCGACGCAGGCAACTCGAACCGGCAGTGTGAACCTCTCCGGCAGGGAACCCCACCGGTCCTTTTTAGGGCGGATAACGGTGTCGACCCTCGGTGGTCTGGTGTTTCCAGGCGTGGGAATCCTCTGGGGTGTTGTGCACTGAGTAGGTTGGGGTGGTATCGCTGAACTGGCCGTCGCGCAAGCGTCCCGCAAGAAACTAGACACCCTTTGAGGCCTGTATACTAGCTGGTGTGGACGTTTCCTACGGATCATCGCGCCCACTCTGGTAACACAAGAGTGGGTAGACTGCAGAAGTCGTTACCTGACCCGGACAGGCTTCGGGCGCCAAGGGTCGGACCTTTTCTACCTGCAAGAGCTGCAGGCGCCGAAGGTCAGACCCTGACAAGGTCAACCGATCATAGATCGACTCAGTGCTGATTTTTTGCCCTTGTTCTTAAAGGAACTATTAACTAAATCCCGATTAGTTACCCTGCGATCCGCAACATGCCCCCGCCCCCCTCCCACGAGGGAGCAGGGCCTTCTGAGAGCGGACAGCATTCCGACTCGTCACCACCCGAACCCCTGGTTACATTCATGAAAGGCATAACGAACGACGCGTTGGGTACGCTTACGAGTGCCCAGAAAGGCTTCATCTCCTCAATTCGGTTCCTAGAAACAACCCCGGAGCTAACTGGGACCCAACTAAAGCGCACTATCGCTGACATGTTCCCGCCGGCTTCGCTTTTCCAACAAGAAATATGCGACCTCCCTGCAGTTCATATTGAGTTGCGAAACTTCTTGGATAGTAGAGGAGGGAATTTGGAGCAACACTCATCTCACCGTGTTGTAATAGCCCTAGCTCATGGCCTTTACGAAGAACCGGAAGACACTCAGGCGGCCATTGACATGGCACGAGAAATCGTTGCTGCCGGCCGTCAGTCCCGCTCGAACACTCCGGGTTCGAACAGAAGAGGCATGAGCCAGCCTACTTCACAGTCGACTCAAGTGACCCCTCCGAATCACACTTCTCCGGAAAGGGTTGCGCACAATGTAGCCATGAGACTAAAAGACAAAGATAAAAGTTTTCTGGCGATCTAGGGGAGTCCTGGATGGAGTACGTCGACGATTACCTCCAAGTTTGTCGAGACTATTCTCTTTCTCCGCTGCAAAAGCTACAGTACCTCCACAATATACTTCGAGGAGACGCGAAGAGGTATTACCTCGACAAGGTAGATGGTTACGCTACCAGTTTCCAGCAGGCCACACAAATGCTCGAGAATGAGTACAATTCTGCAGTACGTCAAACTCGAGTTAAGAACTACCTGAACACGCTGCGAGTTACTTCCTTTGTTGCCCAAGGGACAGAGATGTCTGCCGCGCTTGCCAGGGTCTACAATTCTATCATCCAGCTATCGAGACAGGCTCCAAGATCCCACCAAGGAGACGCCCACAAAGTGGAATTCCTTCGAAACGCAGTAAGAGGGACGCCATGGTCGAGCGAACCGCTAAGCAGAGCTGCGACTCATAATCTTACATTACAACAGCTCTATGCCGAGCTCGAGGCTGCCCTGCAGCTAGAGAAGGAGTCCAAACTCGCGATCTTACGAGACCGCGCACAGTTAGGTGAAAGGACGCCTTCTTCCGACGACAATGCCGGAATAATGTAAACGGGGCAAGGAAGGTACTACAACAGCCCTTCTTCGTCCCGTTTCCAAAGAAGGAGTACGCCTTTCCGAAGCTCTCCCACCGGCCAAAGCGCGAACAACCGAGTCGCAAAGACCGGAAGCTTTAACCTCTATCGGTCTCCGGGTGTTTCAACTGCGGAGGTACGCATCTTTTGAAGGACTGCAGGCTCCCGTTGAACACGTCCAGGGCAGCTGCACGCAAAATGGAGTACTATGCGAAGAAGGCCGCCACAAAACCAATTGCGGTACACCACGTTCTCGCGGACTTATGTCAGCAACTTGATTGCGAAGCAAAGGAGGACTGCGAGGAAGAAGCAGAGGCCAGTGACCTGCGAATATTTGAAGGTATCCTAAAACTGGAACACCCAAGCTCAGAGGAAGACAATCCACATCGGGATCATGATGAATCTTCAGCCGCAACTGTAAATCACGTATACGTCACTGGAAAGTCATGCGACATACCTTCATCAGATACTTTCCAAGGGGTATGTATCGATTCCGCAACCCAGAAATCGGTTATAGGAGCTTCCCAAGCACGCGCATACTGCAGCTTGTTTGATGTTCCCTTTCAGACCTCCTCAACGAGGAGAAGAAATGTCTTCAGTTTCGGGACACACAAACACCTTGGACTAGCTCTTCTCAACATGCGAGTACCCATTACGTCGAGTCACTTCCTCTCTATCACGGTCGATGTCGTTGATGCGGACGTACCTTTCCTGTTAGGCTTAGACAACATGGAACTGTACAAGATGGTGCTCGACACAGATAAGTGCGTACTGTCTTCAAGGTTACAAGGATGGGACGTGCCCCTTAAGAAAAAGCTAGGACACCTGTACTATGAATGGGGCCCCCAAATCCTCTTCACGGAAACCGAACTCATGAAAGTGCACAGGCATTTCCACCATCCGGATTCTGAAAGGCTCTACTCGGTCATGAAAAGGGCAGACCCCGAAAAAACCTCCGCTCAGGTCTTGACCGACTTAAAGCGCATCAGCGCGGCATGTGACCTCTGCCAAAGACTCTCACATGCACCGCACCGGTTCCGGGTGACACTCCCAGACGGAG